CGTTAAAAAAAAGTTCAAAATAACATCACATAAGTTTTTGTTTTATGATATCAAGAATGGGAAGCATGAAATGAACCTGTACAAGTAGGAACTCAAAGCGCTTATTCATTAATCTTTAGCTTAATTTACTTGTCAAAAGTGAAGAATTGACAAATCCATATGTTGAAGCAGGAGGTATATACATAATATCTCTTTCACATCTTGGCATGTTGAAAATAAGCAGTCAATAATATAGCACAAAATTATCTTTCATACCTAAGGTACCATCTGCAAAGTGCCATTTACCGATATCAGACCTCAAATATATGGCTAGCAACTGCAGAAACAAGACGCCACCATTTTTAATGTCTACCTTACGAGGTTGGATACATGGTAAAACATAGAAAGCAGACTTACATTTCATACCTACATTGGTACTATAAACAACCCTTCACATCAGGAACTCTCAAGTTCCAAATATGCAACTCAACCTAAAGAACTACGTATGAAGAGAAGTAAACAAAACATTAGATCTTCTAAAGGTTGTACACTGATAAGGAGGGAAAATCACCATTAATGGATATTTCTTCATAGACGCATTACAATGTACACGGAGTCTAGGACATTAATTGTTACAGAAGATCACGTCGGAGTTGGAGCGGCGGCAGCCTTCATGAACATGAATCTCCTCCTTGCGATGCTGTTTCCATTTTCACCTAGAGCAGCAAGGTGAAGCATCCGCCGCCTTGCTGAAGCCACGGCAATATCGTCTGCTGTTGGCTTACCCTGCACATCATGAGGTGGCGAGTTGTCCCCTGATGCAACACTTTCACCATCCAACTGCTTGAGCTGCATCACTTGCTTTAGGCTGTCAGCCACCTGTCTCATCGTTGGACGGTCCCTTGAGCGCTTCGCAAGGCAGGTGTTGGCCAACTTAGCAATTTCTCTAGTTCCCTGCCTAGAGTAACGGCCTTCGAGTCTTGTATCTATAATCTTGTTGAACTGCTTACTTCCAACAGGATACTGCTTTACCCATTCCAGCAGTTTCTGCTCATTCTTGGGGCGGTTCTTTTCCATAGAACGTCGTCCGGTGAGGATCTCATAGAGTACTACTCCAAAACTCCAAACATCACTCTTGGTGGTGAGATGACCTGTCGCAACGTAGTCTGGAGCCGCATAACCATAGGTCCCCATAACCTGATTACGATAGAGCGAGTTATCATAAGGAACTATTCTTGAATGCGTGAATGGAGCATGAGGAAACTCTGTTATCTTGCTCTGAAATAAAATTAACACGTACCGCTGTAGACACATGAGTTTGATCTGCTGATGGCCCTTCCCTCGCTAATCCAAAGTCTGAAAGTTTTGGTCTAAACTCCTCATCCAGCAGAACATTGGAAGCTTTGAAATCACGATATATGATCTAAATCCATGAAATTTGATCAAAACAAAGATGGCATCTCTATGTTATTTTCCTAAGCAAAATCAAAACCTTTCTTCAGAGAAAAACAGAATCAAAACCTTCAGGTTAGAGATAACACTTGTTCTAAAATCACCCCCTTAACTAATACTCCCTCCGTAACAAAATGTAAGAAGTTTTTTATGCCCTATGCAAAACCAAAAAACGTCTTACATTTTGGTACAGAGGGAGTAGGAAATAATATTAATGACATCCATTTTCTCTCAACTATGTGGTTCAATTAGTATGATCACTCCACAACATTGTTCCATCCAGAAACTAATGCTTTAGCACAAACGTATGATCACTCCACAGCATTGTTCCATCCAGAAACTAATGCTTTAGCACAAACGTTTTAACTTGCAAAAGTAGTTGAAACAACAGGGAATGAGTACTGCATCCATCGAAGTTATGATCCGGTCTATTAGATTTATTAATACAATGAATTATTAACTATATCTAGGTATCTTGATATCTACAGTTATTCTGAATTACAAAAATTCCAGCATTTACCGGTAGGAGGTATTTTTCACAATTTTACGCATTTTTCATTCCCTGTTATTTTTAAATCAGGTATCACTCAAGTTCCAAAATATGTTGTTAAATAGTCATACATTGGACTCGTTCTTGTCCAATATAATGCAGTATTCTCACACAGAAAACCTATTGGGAAAGTTGGCAAGCTGTACCTGAACCTCCAACCCTTCATGGAGATACATCAAACCCTGAGCAGCGCCAAATACTATTTCCAACCTGACGCCCCATGGAAGAACAGGGTACGCTCGATTGAATAGATGATCATCCAGGGTTTTGTTCGTCATGAACTCGTAGACAAGCAGCCTCTGAGGACCTCTTTCGTCACGGGCAGCACAGTAACCGATGAGCTTGACGAGGTTCGGGTGCTCGACAACCCCTAGAAAATGAACTTCTGCCAGCCACTGCTTATGCCCCTGATCAAGGTTGGTAGTGAGCCAAAAGGAAGTCAAATACAAGTACTGGATGAATCCTTGGCTCCTAGTAGTATCAAATAGTAGGACAATATAATGATACCACTCCCTCCGATCCAAATTAGTTGGCGCAGGTTTAGTACAACTTTGACGCAGGTATAGTACAACTTTATACTACTGAAGTTGCACTAAACATGCGTCAATTAATTTGGATCGGAGGGAGTAGAATGCAATAGTACTGAAAGCATCCAACCACGCATATAGTTGGCAGAATTCACACTGCACAGATGTTTGATTGTATTCGCATATTGCATATCATCAGAAGGATTGCAGCCTTAGGCCACAGAGATCAATGAACTACTCCAACAACTGAAACAATTGTGCAAACCGTGTCCAAATTTAGGAGTACTAGTAAACTGTAGGGTTAAATCCGGGCTAGATCTTACACTGAATCAACCTATGATGACCAAGGACATGAAAGAAAGAAAGAAAGAACAAGAGAAGAGCACCACCGAATGAAATTCCTAATTTTAACCATGGAAATAGGAATGGAGTACCTGGTGGCCGCTGGTGTTGAGCCTTTTGATGGCCACCACGGTGCCGCCGGCGGGGCCACCGGGCAGGCGGACGACCCCCTTGTAGACGCTCCCGAAGCCGCCCTCGCCGATTTTGAGCAGCCGGCTGAAGTCGCTGGTGGCGGCGTGGAGCTCCCGGAGGCCGAACTCGCGCAGGCTGCTCGCGCCCCGCTCCTCGTACAGCTCCGGGATGCTCCGCGCCGACGAGGCCGACCCCGACGACTTGCTCCCGCCGGGCCTCACGGTCGCGCCCGAGTCTTGGGACTGAGACTGGCTCGTGGCCGCGGCCGACGAGGACGCCGTCGAGCAGGTGGCCTCGGAAGTGAACGACGCGCCCGGCCCCGGCACCGGCCTCCCGTGCGGTCTCTTGCCCTTGCCCTTGCCTGCCCTGATCTTGCTCCTGAAGCGGCCGAGGCAACCCATTTCCCCGGAGAACGAAAGCTCTGCTACGATTTCAGCCTCGCGGTGGCCTTGTTTCCTCCATGCGCGTGCGTGCCTCCACCTCGCTCGCTCCACAGGCCACAGCTCAAACCACGAGAGGGGAAAGGAGCCCAGGCACCACGGCACCGCGCGGCGCAAAGCCGCCACCGGGAAAGTCAATAAAACCGACGCGGAATGGTTTGACGCGAGAAGAGAATGGCAGGCTGCATGGCGCCACCAAGGAGAACACACGATGAATTTCACCAACCTTCCTGGCAGAACTTAAGTTTCGGCTGTTGTTTCTGAACTTAAATTTTGGTTTTACGCTGTGAGGCGTAGGAAGAGAAGAAGCAGAAAACGATGTGTGTGAAGACTAGTACGGATTACTACTACTACGTGCCTAAGTTTCTGAACGGAGTTACACTAACTAGGCATGGGTGGTCGTATCGGTCAAACGAAATGGTCTCCGGTGGCGACGGGAGAGGAGACGGGTGGGGGTTGCAATTGCAAACCGGAGGGATGGCTTTGACCCCACGTGCTTTTGCTTTTCTACGTGCCAAACTAGTCATCGTATATCTTGCCTAAAGAAAAGAGTACCCCAACTATGGTAGTTAAATAATGTCTGCTGGGGACGATTGGTACTCCCATAATGTAGTGCGTATAGATTGTTTATAAAAGGTCAAGCTAAGCAAACTTTAAAAAAAAAAAGAGGTTTTACTCCAGCCTCTGCATCAGAGAGATGCATACGGCTCATATTATTAATAAAAATATCCAGCAACAAGTCTCCAAGTCTCGAAGTATGAAATAAACAAACGCTCATAAGAGCTAAACAGAAAGCCACAACCGTCTGGCAAATAAAAATAGGAGCACTACATGCCTATCCTATTACATGACCGCTATCCAAACCGGTTGAAAATATCCCGAGCTACCATCTCCCATCGGGTAGACGCAGTAACCAAACGCTCCCTGGCCTCCGTCGGAGTGAGTAGCGACCACATACGTATCAACGTTGTGGCCCTGAAGATAACCTGCAAAAAGTGAATGTTCGTTGATCTGTTAAAAACCAAATCACTTCTGCAGTTCCAGACTGCCCATAATAAAGCACAAACGCCAACACGAATGTGCCTCGCTGTATTGGAGTCAACCCCATCAAGCCACGTTCCAAATAATATGTTGATGGAAGTAGGCGGATTAATATTAAAAGCAATATGAATCGACCGCCATAGAATCTTAGCCAGCGGACAATCAAGAAAGAGGTGTTTGATAGTTTCGCTATGGTCACAAAAACTACATCTAGCAGAACCCACCCAATTGCGTCTCGCCAGATTATCCTTAGTCAAAATAACTTGTTTATGCACGAACCACATAAACACTTTGATTCGCAAAGGTACCTTTACTTTCCAAACGTGCTTCAAGGAAGGAATGACGCTAGAGTTTATGATGTCCAGATACATGGATTTGACCGAGAACACGCCGTTCTTAGTTAGTTTCCAATACAACTGATCTTGCTGCTGAGACAACTAGACATCCATCAAACATCTTACAAGATGAAGCCAGGCCTCCCAATGATTGCCAACTAGCGTCCTCCGAAAACTAATATTGAGGGGAGTGGATTGTAGAGCGGTTGCAACATAAGCTTCTCTACGTTGAACAACGTTGTACAGAGTAGGATATTGAAGTGCAAGGGGAGTCTCACCAAGCCACGTATCCTCCCAGAACCTCGTATTAGCTCCATTTCCGACTAAGAACCTTGTCCTATTGAAAAAGAGTGGCTTGACTCTCATCAAGCCTTTCCAAAATGGTGAGTCAGTCGGCCTCACTGTCACCTGGGCCAAGGTTTTAGACTGAAGATACTTATTTCACAAAATCTGAGCCCAAGTAGCCTCCGTCTCGGACGAAAGTTTAAACAACCACTTGCTAAGGAGACATCTGTTTTTGACTTCCAGATTTTCAATACCTAGACCCCCTTGGTCCTTCGGCCTACAAATTATATCCCATTTAGCAAGCCTATACTTTCGTTTAAGCTCATCACTCTGCCAAAAGAATCGAGATCGATAGAAGTCTAGCCTCTTCCTGACACCCACCGGGACCTCGAAAAAGGATAGGAGAAACATAGGCATACTGGTGAGGACCAAATTAATCAAAATTAATCGCCCTCCATATGACATGAGCTTCCCTTTCCAACAACTCAGTTTCTTCTCAAAACGATCCTCGATGCATTTTCACTCTTTGTTAGTCAGCTTCCGATGATGAATGAGTATACCTAGATACGTGAACGGTAACGTGCCCAATTCACATCCGAACAATTGTTTATACGCCTCCTGGTCATCATTAGCTCTTCCAAAACAGAACAATCCGCTCTTGTGGAAGTTAATTTTGAGTCAGGACAATTGTTCAAATAAGCATAACACAAGCTTCATGTTTCTCGCTTTTGCCAAGTCATGCTCCATAAAGATGATAGTATCATCAGCATACTGAAGGATGGAGATACCGCCATCAACTAGATGCGGAACAAGGCCACCTACCTGCCTCGCATCCTTAGCCTGTCCTATTAAAATAGTCAGCATATCAGCCACTATGTTGAATAGGATCGGTGACATGGGATCTCCTTGCCTTAACCCTTTGTGTGTCTGGAAATAGTGACCTATATCGTCATTCACTTTAATCCCTACACTCCCTTTTTGCGTAAAGGATTCAATCTAGTTTCTCCAGGCCGTGTCAAATCCTTTCATACGCAAAGCCTGTTGAAGGAAAGGCCATTTAACTTTATCGTATGCTTTTTCAAAATCCACTTTAAAAACAACGCCATCTAGTTTTTTTGAGTGAATCTCATGGAGCGTTTCATGCAAGACGACAACCCCTTCAAGGATATTTCTATCTGGCATGAAAGCAGTCTGGGACGGTTGCACAACTGAATGTGCAATCTGTGTAAGTCTGTTCGTCCCAACCTTGGTGAAGATTTTGAAACTAACATTAAGCAGACATATAGGCCTGAACTGCTCAATGCGAACGACCTCTGTCTTCTTTGGAAGAAGAGTTATCGTTCCAAAATTCAGCTTAAACAAATGAAGTGTCCATTAAAAAACTCATGAAACATCAGCATCAGGTCTCCCTTAATGAAGTGCCAACACTTTTTTATAAAACTCCGCCGGAAACCCATCCGGTCCTGGAGCCTTATTATTTTCCATTTGTGCGATGGCCTCAAACACCTCTTTCTCCGTAAAGGGAGCAGTCAAAATCTCATTCTCGTCAGTCTCAAGTTGAGGAACATCCTCAACCCTTGACTCATCTAAAGACACAAAATTCTCTTCCGGAGGTCCAAACAACTACTTATAATAGTTGGTAATGTAAACTTTTAGGTTTTCTCGACCAACTATCGTTCCTTCGTCTTGTTCTAATTGGAAAATTCTCTTCTTACGATGCTTCCCATTAGCAATCATATGAAAGAATTGAGTGTTATCCTTGCCTTGGACGATTTTGCGAACCTTAGCTCGCAATGCCCACTTCAATTCCTCCTCACGGAGAAGCTCTTTCAGCCGCAACTCAGCCTCCATCTTAGTTTCCAGCTCACTGGTACCTAAGATAGAAGTTTCAGCTTTTACTTCAAGGGTCTGAATAAGTAGAAGGAGTCGCTCCTTCTCTGCCTTATATATCCCATGCGTATGCTTAGCCCATCCACGAAGGAACCTTCGAAGATGACGAATCTTGCATTGCCAACGCTCAATGGGTGACCTTCCTCCTGAATCCTTAGCCCACTCTCTAGCTAACAACTCAAGGAATCCTTCTCTTTCAAACCATGCAAGTTCAAACGAGAAAATATTCTTGTTACCCACATGAGTTTGAGCCCCCGAGTCAACTAGCAGCGGCATGTGATCCGAGATACCTCGTGTCAACGCCTGCACTGTTACCAGGGAAAACTTCTGTTCCCATTCGACACTAGCTAAAACACGGTCAAGCTTCTCAAAAGTCGGTACCGGTAACGAGTTAGCCCAAGTGAATTTCCTACCCGAGATCTCTATCTCTCTGAGATCCAAGCTTTCAATGATAGTATTGAACATAAACGACCATCTACCGTCAAAATTATCATTATTCTTTTCCTCCCTTCTTCGAATAATGTTGAAATCATCCCCCACTAAGACAGAGAGCTGCTCATTACCACAGACACGGACCAGATCGGCCAAGAAATCTGGCTTGAGTTCTGGTTGCGCGGCTCCGTAAACCGCCACCAAAGCCCAATCAAATCCGTCGGCCTTAGTTCTGACCCGAAACTTTACCGCAAACTCTCCAAAAACTGCACTCCGAACTTCCAAAGTTTCACACTTAACCCCAAGTAAAACCCCACCGGATCTTCCTCGAGGGGGGAGGCAATGCCAGTGGAAATCTACCTCCCAGATAAAGTGCTAAGAAATTGTGGAGTGAAGTTGCCTCTTCCAGTCTCAGACAAAGCAATAAAATCCAAATGATGTTCAAGAGAAGCATCCGCTAGAAACCTTCTTTTAGCCAAGTCTTTAAGACCTCTGCTATTCCAGAAAATGCCTCTCATATTTCATCATGAAATTTTTTAGAGGTACGGATCCTAGCACTTCTACGCACAGCCGACACTGGATAAACCTTCCGTTTCCAAGTCCGTTTAGGCTTAATGCGATCATCAGATCGGTCACCACACTCGGGCTCTGCCGCAATCACCAAAGACTCATCTACATGATTAGAGGTCTCAGGATAGGCATACCCCTCCTCCTCCTCCGTCCCCGGTAACGCAGGGTCAAGATCGGCACACAAACCATCAAGAGCCCTAACCCCAAGCGCATCAATCTCCGACTCATTCATAGGCTTAACGGCAGCTATGTGACGAATCATTTCTAATGCCCGTTCAGCTTCCAAATCAAGAATGTCATTAACAGACCTAGAGATCTCTATATCATTATTACCAAGTGATACTCCTAGTTGGTTTGCATTGTGAACAATCTCATCATTGGTAAAATGCATAATTGAATTCGATTTAT